AGAATGGGACGTGTGGTCACTCAAGTAAAGGAAGGAGAAGAAGGATGTGATCTTTATCATGGAATCTTCTTCTTCGCGTTCACCAGCTGTACACTCAGGCGGAAAGTTCTAGTTGTTCGTCCACTCCTGGACTGCAGTCCTGCTCCAGAACCTGAGTGTTGCGTGTGCATCAGTTTTACTGATCTGATTTACTTGAATGCAGAATGTTGGTTCCTTGCCTCTCAGGCAGATGCACTCCGACTTCAAAGGAAGCTCCCAGTTAGTCGACTCTTACGACATGCTTTTGGGTAGGCAGTGGGTCTATTCTTGTTTCCCCCACAATGGGGCCCCAGAACCCACAAGGGGAATATATAATGGAATGACTAGGGTATTTGCTCCCTAACTAATAAATATGGATTCAATCCTTGGTGAAGAGCGGACACCTTAGGCCAGCGGTTTTCCAACTGGGTGCCGCCAGCATATGCCAGGGGTGCCGCCAGCGTATGCCAGGGTGGCAATAATAAAGAATTTTTCCAAATCTGCTTGAGATCAGCGAAGACAGCAGTTTAATACAGAAATACCACGAATGAAGCCATGAAGAATTCTGAATACAGGCGTATTCAGTAAACAACGCTATTGGCAAGGCTACAGTTCATTCTCAACGTACTCTTGCATTTAAAAAAACAAACAGACACAGGAGCAACCTTCAAGTAATCCGAGGGTAAAATCAACTAAACCCCCCGTAAACATAAGGGAAATAGTGAACAATTCATCCAAACAGTTTCATTCATCACATTAAAGAAAACTGAACATTTAATTTGCACGTTTGATCTCTTCTTTTCCTAAGTATTCAAACAGCCTTAAATTATGTTTTGCCTGATAAGGGAGCCGCGGCGAAAACAGTTTGAGCAACGCTGCCCTAGGTCATCCAGTCGTAGGTGGCTGCTTTGCTTGAAAATATTTCTATGTTTACTGTGATGTTTACTGTTGATCGCCCCATTCCTCTGTTATTATCATAGTTTTCATACTTAATGTGTTGTTCATAAGATTACCAAAATCAACGCAAAGTGATCTGCTGCAAAATCGGTGGCGTCTGAATAGAATCTGGTATGTAGAAATAGTGTCATAAACTGTCAGCCACATCTGCCGACTATTTCAATGAAGAAAATAAAAAAAACTGAAGACGCACATTCCAGAGAGATCTGGAGAGACGGGGAATGAATAGCGAGCTGATGACAGAAATAAAATGTTGTTGGCACCTTTTCGTCCTTCCAGACGACAGTGTTATGTACCAGGAGGAGACATGTGACTTACAGGCCATGGCGATGGCGAGTGTTACTAGCCAAGACCCGCCCGCCTTAAGAAAAGTCTTTCACGATTGGAGTATGGGATTGCCGAACCGTTGTTGCCGTTTGGATTTAGTATGCTTCATGTCAGACGCTCAGCTCTGATCTTTTCAGCAGTCAGTTTCTTACCTTAATTATCATTCCCTTCCTTATTTGTACCCTCCACGAACTACGATCCATGGCATCTACCCCCCCCCCCCCCCAACCCCAACGAATCTTCTTCAATGCATGTATCATTCATGTCCTTGTGCACACAGCTTTATATTAGAGGCAGGCCTCGATAACTTCTGTAAATCTGATTCACCCTAAAGGATGTCCTTAGCAAAGATAAAGTATTTGGGCGAAATTTTTAGTCATGACACTTGTTTAAAACAAAATGATAAATACTATTTACTGGAAGCAGGAGTTATACATTGATACAAGTGGGAAAATCACACAAATAAATGGATGAACAGTAGTCTGTCAAATTGCAAAGCTACAATATATATATATATATATATATATATATATATATATATATATATATATATATATATATATATATATATATACTGAACTGAAAGATGCAGCCGCGAAACGAACCCGCGACCTTCAGAATGCGAGGTAAATGGCTTGACCACTTCGCCACCGGCTGTAGTTTACTCAGCTAATGCCTATAATCCATCACATAGGATATGTAAGGGCTTTATTACCAGGCTTGTAGGACAATATTTACAACTGCTTTATTTTTTTTAACCGTATGGGAAGTTCTTTGCATTCACAACCTATTAGCGAGCGTGGTCTTTGTGGTGACCTTTAGCTGACGTACTATTTTCTGCTCGTACCTTTCACGCAATAACACGGTGACCCGCCAGCCCATGACTTACCATTGTCCGGCATTCACTGGCCTCATTGCTCTCACTGGATCTAATCTTGTTGTATCGTCTGTTACAATGTAACCTGCTGAGGTAATAATGTTCTGCAACGTATTTATTGATGTGTGTTTTGGATGTAGCTAATATATGAAACAAAATAAATACAAAACCTGTACAAAGTTCAAGCTGGAGCTAAGAGGACCAACTTCCTTATGTAAAGTATTTTTCCCATAAGGCGAGTCGCTGTGGTGTAGGGTAGACGCTTGCGGATTGAAAAGGGGTGGGTTCTAATCCAGACGGTACTGGACTAAATCACACATCCGGTGCCAATTGATCCATAAAACCTAGGTGACTTACATGCACAAAACGCACTAAGGCATACAATTGGGTAATATACTTTACTTATCCGACAAGGCTAAATGCTTGCAGAGACGTGGCTCAATGTATTAACTCCTTTGCGACGATGATTTGGCATTTTGAAAAAAAAAAAAAAAAAAAACTGCACTCGAGAGACCCACCCCTTTAAAAACAAACTATAAACTGTTTAGAGCAGGGGTTGTCAACCCTTTTCAGGTGGCGTTCCCTTAAATATGTGACAAGATTCCCCCGCCCCTAGATTTAATAACAATTCATTTAGAACGAAGGACAAAAAGAGGCGACTTGGAATGTATAAAGCTACGATTTGGTCAGAGTGTGTTCATAATTTATTTAGTAAATGTAACTGTTTTCAGATTTATTAGATTTTAAAACTTTAGATAACTAATTTTTACATTGTCAGCCCTTTGTGGGATGCCGTTTTTCGTTATTTGAAGCCCTTCTCTGGCTCTTGCCAGGAGCCACAATATAAGCCAATTATAAATATGGTCTAATGGCTGAACGCGGTTTCTGGGACCTCTCCACGGGTGATCCTTATCTGCATGGTGGCACTTTATGTCATCGGGTGTTTTCGCTTGTGTGATGTCCTGGTAGGGTAAAAGAAGATAGATAGAAGTACTTTAGATGTACAAACTGCTCTTAAAAACAAAAATGTCCCTGGCTAGTAATGCATACATCAGAATGTGCTTGTTATCTCTGTATGGATCATCACATTAAATGTATAACTGATGATGTGTTGGTGTGTCACTACGTGTGTAAATCTCGGAAAGAGTTTACACACAGATTTATTTCTCTAAATGTTTGAATCACCCATAATTCATGCCTGAATTTATGCCTATGTATGTCTGAGTGCATTAATCACCATGAATGCAAGCAAGAGTTTATGTATGTGTTTATGAATTACTACGTGTGCACGCATATTCACCATAGTTGCTGTGTGTTTGGAAGATTCACTATGAGTATATGAATGCATGTGCAGTAATCACTATAAATGCACACACGAATGTATACTGATGCCGTAGAAACGTTCTGTTTTTGCCGGGTTGGCCTTCATGAGCGCGAATACCAACATAGTCTGGACTTCACCTGGACATTTCCTTGTCTCAGCTGTTGCTGACTGCCGATTCTTGTAGCTGTCAATGCCTCAGGGGGTGCTAAGTCAGGTCTGGGAACTTGATCGTCTGTGTTGAAAGGCGAGGAACAAGTCTGCTTGTTGCGTTACTGCCGCATATTTCAATGAAAAGAGCATCTCCGCCTATCTCTATTTACTCTCTCTCTTCACACACACACACACACACACACACACACACACACACACACACACACACACACACATATGTGCATGTACACACACACGCACGTACATTACAGCCACCATGGCTGACAGGCAGAGACGAGTCAAAAACTGTTTTTTTTTTAATCATCGTCCCATACAGGAATTCTTGTCATCGGAGGCAGCTGCTGCTGTTTTTTCCTGCTTCTTTCTTCTCCTAATCCTCCTCTTTTTTTTTTCCTCCTTATCATCATCCTCCTCTCCCCTTCTTCTTCTTCTTCTTCTTCTTTTTCTTCTTCTTCTTCTTCTTCTTCTTCTTCTTCTTCTTCTTCTTCTTCTTCTTCTTCTTCTTCTTCTTCTTCTTCTTTTTCTTCTTCTTCCTCTACAACAGTAACAACAACAACAACTACTACCACCACCACCACCATCACCATCACCACTACTACTACTACTACTACTACTACTACTACTACTACTACTACTACTACTACTACTACTACTACTACTACTACTACTACGACTACTACTACTACTACTACTACTACTACTACTACTACTACTACTACTACTACTACTACTACTACTACTACTACTACTACTTCTACTTCTACTACTACTACTACTACTACTACTACTACTACTACTACTACTACTACTACTACTACTACTACTACTACTACTACTACTACTACTACTACTACTACTACTACTACTACTACTACTACTACTATTACTACTTCTACTACTCCTACTACAACTACAACTACTACTACTACTACTACTACTACTACTACTACTACTACTACTACTACTACTACTACTACTACTACTACTACTACTACTACTACTACTACTACTACTATTACTACTTCTACTACTCCTACTACAACTACAACTACTACTAGTGCTGTTGCGTTGCAGTATATTATTATTATGTTCCTAAATTAAGATTAGGCTCCTTGATCCTATTTCCCATTATTGCTTAGAAAATGTGAATAGTTGCGGGAAGGGCCGGGGGGGGGGGGGAGGAGGATTTGATGGCCTTTCAATACTTTCCCTGTGTCAGATACATTTTTGTGTGTGTGTGTACGTGAAATGTAACTTCTCACATATTTGACAACAAAGTGCTTTCTTCATAAATGTCCTTTCTGTCAACAGACCAACGGTAACAGCATGGACTCAGACCTGGACTCCGAGGCTCTCAGCGACAGCGGGGATGTCATATCAGAACTCAGTGCTGAAAAACTAGATCCGGCTGACAGGGCACTGTTCGAGAAACTGAAGCAGCAGGAACTGGAGGAGAGGGAAGAGATCGAGAGGGAGCTGAAAGAGCACGAAGAGGCTTTAGTTCTTCACAACAATCAACTACAAAATAAGGGGAAAGATACACTGCTTGTCCAGGAGCGAGGGGGCATTAGATCGGAACGGGAACTTGATCTCAGTCGGCCTAATTCAAATAAATCTTCATCCACTCCAAGCGGGATGACCATCAACGGGAACATAGCTACAAATGGTGGCGGTAATATGATAAACAGTGTGTTTGTTTCCAATAACAGTGACAATAAATTTGGATTGTCCAACTACAACAGTGTTCCGAGTAGAAGCATCAACACTTGTGGAACTGGTGCGGGTTATATCAAAAGCATTGTTGATTCTAACGGGGACATAAGTAAACTGTTATCTGAAGACTTTAGAGCCCATTTACACAGCAGTGCCAACTTCCTGTCCTCATTCCCTCTGGGTCATCCCTTAGCCCACGCTCATTTAGCTCTTGGAGGACGCCTACTGGGTAGAGACTTGAAAGGTTTAGACGGAATGAACCCATTTCATCCGATTATGGCAAGTCACAGTGCGTTTCCCAGTCCACCTTCGCCGACTGACCGCTATCCACCGTCATCAACGCCTCATTCACCCACAGACAGCCTTCAACCTTCACCTTCGCCAGATGACCCCAATGACGAAAACAGATCGCACAACTGGACTTTTGAGGAACAATTCAAACAGGTACAGGTACTTGACATTTGTCTTTTATATTATAAGATATCTATGTTCCCGTTTGGATTCCCGACCCCATATTATAAACTCACTGACCCCCAATCAGTCTATCGTAAACTGATAATAATTTAGGTATGCTGGAATTATAAATGTTAAGCAAAAAGGCGTAGGTATCGCAGCCTTCTGTAAACCGCAACACAACGTACCAACCGCTGTTTTAAAGGCGAACGCAGAAGAAGGCGATACCCATAGACTCATAATTGTACGGAGTACACACATTCACAGATACCTGTGGAGGCAAAACAACACCATAACGTCTCATACAAAACATATTCATTCCCACCCCATGTTATCAGTGCCAGACATGGTCACTCGCAACAAAACATAAACTAAAATTAGTAACCATGGAAATGAGATGTTTTAGAAAGACTGAAGGAGTGACCAGAAGAGATAAAATCAGGAATGAGGTCATAAGAAATAATGTCGGCACAGAACCAATTTTAAATTTCATACAAGGACTGCAAATCAGATGGTTCGCTCACTTGATGAGAATGCCTTCTGAATGCCTGCTGCTAGGACTTTACAGGGCATATACGAAAAAAGGAGAATGACGTAGAGTAAGAGATAGACCAAGAACAAAATGGGAAGATAACATCAGAGTAACTCTACAGCACTACGATATGTCTATAGTCGAAGCAGTCAGAAGAGCACGAAACAGGACCTTATACCTCCATTGACACCCGAAGGAAGAAGAAGAAAAAAATACATCTTCCATCTGCTGTTATCTGCTGCCTTTCCAACCCCCAATGGAGCATAGGCCCTAACAAACTCCCACCAGGTCGTTCTATCCTTCGATATTGCATGCAGCTCTCTAAATGTCCTCCCCCATCTGTTTAACTTCGCACTCTAGTTCCCTTCTCCATGTGTTTTTTGTTTTGTTTTTGGTCTTCTTCTATTTCTATGCCCCTGTGGGTGCCGGTGTAAAGACATTATTGTTAACTTGTTCTCAGATTTTCTCAACGTGTTCTATCCAACGCCATCGTCTTTTCTTCACTGGTTCACTGAAACATGTTCAGTTCTCTCCCAAAGCTCTACATTAGTGATTCTCTCATTCCATTTAATTCCCTCTATTCTGCGAAGGCACCAGTTAATGAATGTTTGTAATTAATTAGTATTTGCCGCCGTTGTTCTCCACGTTTCTATTTCATACAACAGTACTGATTTGACATTATTATTGAAACTTTAAGTATCTTTTTTTTTTAAATTCTGGTGACCTCTACAAATTCTCTAGTGCCGTGAAAGCCTCTTTTGCCTGTTGTATACGTATTTTACTATCTCTATCAGTTTCTCCATCTTTATGTACATTACTGCCCAAATAGTTGTACGACTCCACGTCTCGGAGCGGCATACCATTAGAGAAACCACATTGCTATCTGCCTGATTTATTCTTATATTGTTGTCTTTCCTGTATGTATTTTCTGACCTAGCTGTTGTGATCTCGCATCAAGTATATACAATTTATCTTACATCTGATTCCATGAGTGGGACAGAAGAGAAATATCATTAGCGAAGTCCAGATCATCAAGCCTTTTTTTTTTTCAGTACCAAATTCTTAATAGCTACAGCTTGTTTGAGGATTGCCCAATTTTATTTGATGATGCATTTTGGAGATTCCGTTTTCTTTGTAGTATTGAAAAATATACATTCTACATATAGTCAGTTCGACTTTCGACCATTTAGTCGGAACGGAACTGGGTCGTAAGTCGAAGAGATCCTAGATAAATGAATTCCTGGCTATACCGAAAACATTCAAATACAGATTATGATGGATCCTAATTACACACCCCATACAGATAATGGTGAAGTCATACACACAGATAATGGCGGAGTCATAATTACACAGCACATACAGATAATGGCGGAGTCATAATGATAAAACAGACACTTATTCACATTTTTGTGTGGAATTAGCTATATAATAGACACACATTCACAGATAGTATATGTGTTAGAGAAGAAAGCTATTGCTGATCTTTCGCTGTAGTGACAACAAGACGATGACATATTCAAGCGGCCATGTTTGAAGATGGCCAAGCTTATGTTGAGTTAAGTGAGAGTTTTAAAATCATCGACGTATCATGTTTCCATTTCCTAGGTGATTGTTTACAGACAGACAGACAGACAGACAGACAGACAGACAGACAGACAGACAGACAGACAGACAGACAGACAGACAGACAGACAGACAGACAGACAGACAGACAGACAGACAGACAGACAGACAGACAGACAGACAGACAGACAGACAGACAGACAGACAGACAGACAGACAGACAGACAGACAGACAGACAGACAGACAGACAGACAGACAGACAGACAGACAGACAGACAGACAGACAGACAGACAGACAGACAGACAGACAGACAGACAGACAGACAGACAGACAGACAGACAGACAGACAGAGATATATATATATATATATATATATATATATATATATATATATATATATACATAGAGAGAGAGAGAGAGAGAGAGAGAGAGAGAGAGAGAGAGAGAGAGAGAGAGAGAGAGAGAGAGAGAGAGAGAGCAGATTGTTCCTACGGCTTTCAGACAGTGGTATGAGAACTGCATCGTGTAAGAGATTTTTGCCTTACCAAATAAAATTCTAAAAGATTGCAGCGAAAGAAAATATCAGTTACAGACAACTTCCATTGTGGGGCACGGAGAAAGCTTTTGTAAACGGAGTACTCCTTCCCTAAATCAGCGGTTCTCAACCTGTAGGTCGCGACACTTTTGTGGGTTGAACGACTCTTTCACAGGGGTCGCCTAAGACATTGGTAAACCTGTACTGATTGAAGTTATGAAGTAGTAACGAAAATAATTGTGTGGTTTGGGGGGGTCGCCACAACATGAGGAATTGTAATCAAGCGCCACAACATGAGAAACTGTATTAAAGGATCGCGGCATTAAGAAGGTTGAGAACCACTTCCCTAAACGGTTTCCTTAAAAAAAAAAAAAAAAAACACTGGAAAAAAAAAGTATTAATATAGAATTGCGAAGATAAAACCACGACAATGCAAAATTTCAATAGCATTTACACTAATTCAGTCAACAAGGAGCATGGCGTTAAGAAGTATCTAACAACTTTATTCTTTAAGAATGATATTCGCAGTATTTACGGATTTCTTTAAAAAAAAAAAAAACGTCAACTTATATCTTCCAAAGTTCTCACAGAAAACAAAGCAAATTAGTATTATAGAAATTTCCTATTTAAAATAAAGATGCATTCTGATATTTTATAAGTTTTCTATTTTGAAACATAATATAAATATAAGTTAGAAGTTTCGTTTTAAAAGTTAAGCATATTGGTTTTCACAATTTTTCTGTTTTGAAAAGTGTACGCATAAATTTTATAAGATTCCGAATTAGATATAACAATAATAATCATATAATGTACAAATAGGTAAATATTTTTATAATTTTTATATTGTTAAAAAAATTGAGCATTTCCTTTACAACTTTCGTATTATCTTTCGAAAGCGTAAGCATATATCTTAAGTTTTCAGTTAACAGCAAATTTAGGCTTTTATATCTTACAATTTCCTTTTAAAAAAAGTTTCAGCATTTTCACGTTGCATATTATTGTTAAAAGTAAAATTTTAACGAAAACAAATTTGCTGTGTTGAGGCAAGTATAGAAATTTAAGTATCTGGGCACATGGATAACATCAGATGGAAGATGCATTACTGAGATCAGAAACAGAATAGGGAAGGCAAAAAATGCCTTTTATAAAATTAAGAACATCTTATGCAGTATATATTTGTCAGTGACAGTTAGAAAAGAATTCTTGCTTGCTACATACATCCAGTTTTAACATGTGAGTCCTGGACAATCGGTAGGCAGGCCAAACAATTTCTTGAGGCCTCAGAGATGTGGTTTTACAGAAGAATGCTTAAAATACCTTGGACAGTCAAACAAGAGCAACCAAGAGGTTTTGAAAGAGGCGGAAGCCCAAAGACAACTTATCACAGACATCAGAAGGAGACAGTCATCATTTTTAGGCCTTGTTATTAGAAGAGGAAAAATGGAACACGTTGTGACCACTGGAAAGATATGTGAAAGGAGGGATAGAGGAAGAGAACGAGATAAGATTATTGACTGTCTTGTTGCATGGCATGGAAGCGTGTCAGCACACGAAATGATACATGCTGCAGGAGATCGCAGATTGTGGAGAGGCATGATCACCCACGCCAGTCGACAAGGCACCTGATGATGATGATGATGAAGTGTTAAAAAAGTAAAAAGAAACAAAGCCATCTAAGCATATATCTACACGTTCCCTATTTTAAAAAGCGTTAGTTTGCATCTTAAAATACATCTTAATGATATACAACTTTTAAAAGCCTAACAACACCTGGGGATCTACACTATATAGTTTTAAAACCAAGTTACATATCTTCAGTTAAATATTATTTTGATTTTAACATATGCCAGTAAAAATTAAAGAACCGATGACTACATGGAACAAAAGTTAAATGCATTAGACATAATGCTAGACCAAACAGCTTTCTTCTTCTTTTCTCTACTTTTGGAATACCTCGCAGTGTCAGGGCAGGAAGAAATCTCTGGAACGGGCCCTTCTAGTTTTCAGTGTCTCTTTTATTTGTGAGTATCATATTCTGCGCGGTCGAACTGGTTAGCACAGGCCTCATCAGCTCCCTAAGATGTTGGGATTTTTATAATTGTTTGGGTTCTCCTTTTGGGTTCCGGGGCCCTATTATGGGTGGAGGGGGGAGGGGGTGGAAGGGGGGGGGGAAGACCGGCTGCCATCTTAACAAGCATGTTGTGAGAGTAGACTAGTTACGTGTTTTCTTCGAAATCGGAGTGCATCTGCCTGAGAGGCAAGGAAACATCAATCTTCGTACATATAAGTCACATCTGTAAAACGAATTGGCATGCAAAACTCAAGTTCTGAAACAAGACTAAAGTCCGGAAGTAGACGA